TCTCTCTCGCAATTAGTGTAACATTTAATTAAATGCATGTGTTTTTATGCCCCCATGTAATAGATCTCGACGAGTAAACTGACCAACACCGGTACGCCATCATGAAAAACATAACCTTGATCATAACTGAAACATACAGTACACTATAACCCTTATAACAAACTAATTAACTATTTTATTGACCATGCTCAGGCAAATCGCGCACCAACAACTACCTGAACAACAACAACAACAATATGGGCGGCAATAACGGCATTAACCGACGCGGAGGGGGCGGCGGCGGACCCATGAGGGGCGCCCGTCAGCAGCCATACCAGCGTAACAACCAGTACAACAACTCGCGGGGCGGCGGCAACGGAGGAGGCGGTGGTTATAACCGGTACGGCGGCGGTGGAGGAGGCGGTGGCGGCTACTCTATGCCGCCGATGAACGCCAACAGCGGCTACGGAGGTGGGGGTCCGGCCATTGGCGGTGGCCCTCCCTATTACGACGACATGCAAGCCTATCAGCCCTATCAGGACCCCTATGGCTACCCCGATGTGGGCGGCGATCAGTATTATGGAGGCGGCGGCGGTGGTGGCGGCCGACCAGTCGGTGGCGGATCCATGTATGACACCCAACCCATGTATGGCAGGGGCGGCGGTGGAGGTGGCGGCGGTCCACCACCCGTCCAGAGGGCACCCGTTCAAACACAACAGCACATCCAACCGGATCTGTACGGCCGGGCGGACGTCGGCGGCGGCAGTGCCGGCTATACGGCCGCACCCATGGGTTACGGCGACTACGGTATGGGTGCCGGCGGTGGCGGCCAAACGTTGGCCGACCCCCAGCAGGTCCGCGGCGGCGGCGGTGGTATGGGTTACGGACAGCAGCCGATGCGAAACGGTTACGGCGGTAGTGTTGGCGCTTACGGCGGTCGCACTGGCGGTGGTGCCGGAGGTGTTGGCGCCTACGGTGGCCGCACTGGTGGTGCCACAGGTGCCGGCGCGGGTGGTGTACCCCCGCCGCCGCCTCCCAGCGCTCGTTGGCAGCCGTACTGATTGGATGATTGGTTGCGGCGGTTGTGTTGGGCTCCAGTAATTGCACACAAAAAGGTAGTCGATATGTACACATGATATGTTAATTAATACCCCCATCAAAACAAAAGTGACCATCATTTCTCTCTCTGTGTGTATGTTTTTGTTATTATTATACACACTATCTATAGATATATATGTCTTGCCATTGATTATGATAAGAATGACCAAATGATAAAACAATAAGTAAACATTGATGTTTGTTTTTTTATATTAATTTAAATAAGTTTTAGGTTTTAATTACTAATTAATTAATTAGTTTCTATAAGTATTTGGAAAGTATAATTAAATAGTTTATTCAGCTATACGACTTTAACTATCTCTCTTTTTTCTCTCATGTCTCTCTTCTATGGCTCTCCTATTCTCTCTCATATGTCTCTCTCTCTTTCTCTCTCTCCTATGACTACTACGGCTCTCTTTCTCTCTCTCTCTCTCTCTCTCTCGCTCTCTAAACGTGATAAAAA